GTGAGATCTGACAAGAAAACAGACGATGTGAGAAACACATAGACATTGTCATCATCATCATCGTCATCATCATCATCATCATCATCATCGTCATCATCATCATCGTCATCATCATCATCGTCATCATCATCATCATCATCATCATCGTCGTCATCTCACCGAGTTCACTCGTCAGCTTCTCATTGACTGTCGTGTTTTTCATCTTCATCTTCGTCTTCATCTTCTTCTCACTATCGTCTTGCCTGCGTCCACTCACTCCCCGCAGACTCCAGCTGACCTTGAGCTCACCTGTACCGACTTGACGCCTTCACACCAACAGCAGCCTCCTCCTGACTTGATCCCTTCGACCATGCCTGCCAATTGCTCACCCTCCTCCTCACCCTCCTCACCCTCCTCCTCCTCCTCCCTCCTCCTCCTCCTCCCCTCCCTCTCCCTCTCTCTTCTTCTCCCTCCTCACCTTCTCCTCCGAAGATCTTCTCGCCATCACCGCCTGCAACCTCATTGTCGCCATGTCGTCGACAACAGCAGGAGCCTCTCCTGCCCATGTCCCGTCACTTCTTCACCCCTCCTCCTCCCGCCTCCCTCCCTCCCTCCCTCCCTCCCTCCCTCCCTCCCTCCCTCCCTCCCTCCCTCCCCCTCCTCCTTCCCCTCCTTCCCCCTCCTCCGTCACTTCACCATGGACGTCCTTCCATCGCAGCCGGCGGGTCTTCGCCTGCCATGGCTGTCAAGGAGGCGACGAGGGAAGCACGAGTTGCTCCTGCCTGAGCGTCTGAGAGTCTGACAGCTGCCTCGCTGCCCTCCTCCCCTCCTTCCTCGCCCTCCTGCCGCCACATGTCGCCATGCAGGTCTGAAAGAACCGGTTGATTAGGAGGCGAAGGAGCAGGAGCAGCAGCGACAGGAGCAGCACAAAGAGGAGGACGAGGACGAGGACGAGGACGAGGAGGGGGCTTCTGAGAACAGGAAGACAACCTGGTGTACTGCTGCCGTCGACTGCAGTGACTGGCGGAGGAGGGAGAGGGGGAGGAGGTGGCGGAGGGAGGGGAGGGGGATGCAGGGATGTAGCAAGAGGAAGACGGATTGAACGAGAAGCTTGAACTGGAGGAGGCGGAGGAGGAGCAGGGGGAGAGAGCGGCGGGGGAGGGGTGGAATGGGCAGGAAGAGAGGAGGAGAGAGGAGGAGGAGGAGATTCACGCTGTTCGCTGCCCTGATGTTCTTTTGGGATGACATCACGTCGGCGGCTGGCAGCATGTGGTGAGGAGACTGAAGGTGTCACTGACTATGAGAGATGGGGAGGAGCAGGAGCAGGAGCAGGAGCAGGAGCAGGAGCAGGAGCAGGAGCAGGAGCAGGAGCAGGAGCAGGAGCAGGAGCAGGAGCAGGGGTAGGAGCAGGAGCAGGAGCAGGAGCAGGAGCAGGAGCAGGGGTAGGAGCAGGAGCAGGAGCAGGGGTAGGAGCAGGAGCAGCAGGAGCAGGAGCAGGAGAAGGAGCAGGAGCAGGAGCAGGAGCAGGAGGAAGTTGGGGGGTAAACCTAGGACGGAGTTGTTGCTGGAAAGAAAATGTCAGTCCTCAAGGAAGGAGCAGAAGCAAGGAGGATCAGCAGCAGAAAGGAGGAGGAGAAGGACGAGGACGAGGACGAGGACGACGACGAGGACGAGGACGAGGAGGATACCTCGTTGCGGTGGTAGGAGACATCAGTCTCCTCTCGCTCTCTCGAACTACTAAGGTGCTCTTCCTCCTCTTCCTCACACAGCGATTGTGTCTGCGCTCTCCCTCCCACGCCTCTGCCTTGTTCCTCCTCCTCGTCTTCCATGACGGCCTTCCGTCCGTCTCCTGCACCTCGCCTGCTGGGCATGCCAGGCACAGAGGTTCCGTCCCCTCGCTCTCCATCCTCGTGGGAATGTACGTTCCTCCTCCTTCCTTCACTTCCTGCCCTAAGTCTTGGATCCTCCTCCTCCTCCTGCCGCTCCTGCCACTCCTCCTCCTGCCTCTCCTCCTCCTGCCTCTCCTCCTCCTGCCGCTCCTCCTCCTGCCGCTCCTCCTCCTCTATCTCAACGAATTTGCTCTTGTCCTCGTGCCGATGGGATACTCTCGCTCTCGCACTGACTCGCTTCATCACAGCAGGCACCCTCCTCTCACTTGGACCCTCCTGCGACTGCTCCGGAACAATCTCCTCCTCATCATCATCAACCACAGCCACATCTCCCTTCGTCACCACCCTAGAGATCCGGCGGCGAACAGTAGCCGAGTGCGACTCTTCCTCCTCTCCTCCCTCCTGCTGCTGCTGGAGAGCATGCAGGTACTGCTCCTGCCTCCTGAGCCGTTGAGCCTCCAGGTCTTCAGCAGCCAGGAGGTCTTGTGTGACTGCTCTGCTCGCTCTCGAACCCTTGGTTCCTCTCTCAACAGCACCCTCCTGCAACATCTCCGACATTCTCAGGCTTTGCTGCTCCAACCTTCGCCGCTCCCTGTCGGAGGTTTGGGATTCCGCCATTCCAGCAACTCCTTACAGGTTGAACCTCACACAAATACTCCGATGAGCTCTGCTTTGCGACCTCGCTCACTGCTCGCAGCTCATGTCGCTCATGTCTGTAAAGGGCAACATTGGTCGTGATACAACTGAAAGGCTCTGTCCGAAGAACTCTTCAAGTCAGGCCTTGCCTCCCCTTGCTCGTTCCGTGGAGGTGTCAAGAGCTTGTGCTCAAGTAGCCAACAGTGTCATCAGCTCATCTCTATGTCTCTGTGCTTGAACTTGTTAGCTCCCTCCTCCTCCTCCTCCTCCCGCTCCTCCTCCTCCCTCCCTCGCCATCTCCCCTGCCTCGAAATTTCCTGGCATGGCGATTGTAAATCGTTGAAATGAACTCTGGTCTGAGCGGGGATGTGGGTGACCGTTACTATTTTAAAACTTTGTTGATATGACAGTAACAGTCGCAGGCGGCCACGCGTAATGTGACCTGCTACGGGGTATAGAGGGATAGGAGGGAGGGAGAGGGAGAGCGAGAGCAGGAAGGCAGGAGGAAGAGAGAGGAGGAAGGAAGGAAGAAGGAAACGATCAGCAGGAGATCACTATGGTAGGAGGGGAATAGTCGTTGGTCTGGTGATGTGACAGCGATGGATAGTCAATCGGGGTTGTAGAGAAAGTGACAAGAGTAACAATCCTCTGCAGAAGCAGCAAGATGTGAAGCTTCAGTGCCTGCCTCACGCTTCTTGTGCTCAGGTTATTCGCCATGTCCATCCAGGAGAAGGAGGAACGTCTGCTCGCCTGCCTCGAGAAGATGCAGGTAAGCGCGGAGGAGATCGAGATCGAGGTGAGAAAGAGCTCACACGTCTCTTGCAGAACCATCTCAACGCCCTCGAGACGGACAGCTTGCGGTCGGAGCTCCAGGCGATGCGTCAGGAGCTGCAGAGCATCGGTGAGGAGTGACTGCCTTGCTCGGCCGGTTGAGACCCTAGCAGGGAGCGGCGCTCGGCAAGAAGCGGGGAGCGGCGGCCACTACCGCGGCAAGATCTCTCAGATGTCGTCAGAGGTCAGAGACGACAACCCCTACAGGTGTGCGGGTGCTTCTCCTGCTCCCTCTGAACGTGCAGCAGCCGCTTGATGGCCCTTAAGTCCATGGGGATCGTCAAGAACTACGAGGTCGAGGGAGCGCTGGCAGGCCGAGGGCACTGACGAGCTAGGGAGCAGGACATTCGCAAGTTCAGCATCATCATAGTGGGGATGGGAGGTATAGGAAGTGTAGCAGGGGAGATGCTCACGAGATGCGGGATCGGTGAGGAAAGAGAGCGAGGAGGAGGAAGACGCTGACTCGTTGACAAGGAAAACTCCTCCTCTTTGACTACGACACGGTTGAGATCGCAAACATGAACAGGTCAAATCTTTAAGACTCCCAGTTCCCTCCCTTCCTCTTCTCCCTCCCTTCCTCTCCTCCTTCATTCCCTCCGTTCTCATCTTGGACTGGCAGGTTGTTCTTCCGTCCCGAGCAAGCAGGGATGAGCAAGACAGATGCAGCAGCTCAGACGTTGGCCGCCATCAATCCCGACGTTCAGTTCGAGTCGTTCTGCCACAACATCACCACCAACGACAACTTCGAGAACTTCATGGATCGCATCAAGCATGGCGGTCTGAACGGAGGTCCCGTTGACCTCGTCCTCAGCTGCGTCGACAACTTTGCGGCTCGCATGGCGATCAACGCGGCATGCAACGAGCTGCAGGTGGTGTGGATGGAGTCAGGAGTGTCGGAGGACGCCATGTCGGGTCACATCCAGTGGCTGGTGCCTGGTAGGCTCGCCTGCTTCCGCTGCCTGCCTCCTCTCGTGACGACCTCTGGCTTCGACGAGAAGAAGCTCAAGCGCGAGAACGTCTGCGCTGCTTCGCTGCCGACGACGATGGGGGTGGTGGCGGGGCTGCTGGTGCAGAACGCGCTCAAGTACCTCCTGGAGTTCGGGGAGGTGGCGGAGTACCTGGGATACAACGCCTTCAAGAACTTCTTCCCCACCTACGGACTTCACCCGAACCCTCAGTGTGAAGACTCCAACTGCGTGCGGAACCAGAAGGTGTTCCAGGAGTACAAGAAGAGCGGCAAGGCAGATAAGGTCCTCAAGGGATGGGACGAGCGCAAGGAAGAGGCCGCCGAGGAGGCTGCAGCACCGCAGGTGAGTCAGGCTCGAGGAGGAGGCACGAGCGACTGAGCCCCCTCCTCTTGCAGGAGAACGAGTGGGGCATCACTCTGGAGGACGACTCCGAAGTCTCGGCTGCTGGGGCTGCCACCAGCTCGACTCAGGTAGCGGCTCCTCTCCGAGCCTCTTGTCTCACCTCAGACGAGCAGCAGCTCCCGCAGGGCGTTCAGTTCGCCTACAGCGTGCCGAAGCCCGACGAGGGCAGCACCGATACCGTGCAGGTCGCTCCGTCAGCGGATCTCGATGACCTTCGCGCCATGGTAAGAGAGGCACGGGGAGATGAGGGAGAGCCTGACGCCTCTTGACAGCTGAGCGGTTTGAAGCACTGAAGTAGGAATATTTGATGGAATAAACTCACAGACACATCCTCTATCCTCCCTCCCTCCTCCTCCTCCTCCTAGTCTGCTCCTTGCCGTCTCTCCTCCCTTGACCAGTCTCGAAGAACTTGTTAACCTGTTGTCTTGGTTGTTCTCCTCCCACTCACTCCGCGCTTGCTGACCTGACATGCCTGCTGACCAGCTCAGGCGCAAGAGGACGATCACTCAGACGTTGAAGGCCTTGACGTACGCGGTCTGAGATTAAAGTCACCCGCACTCCCTCCGCCTCACACCCTACCACTGAGAAGTAGAGCGATGTAAAGCTCAACGCCAGTAGCATCCCCACCATCATGCTCGCCAAGCCGATCATGTTAGTGCTGGGAGGTTCTGAGAAGGCAGGAGGAGGAGGGTAAGCATAAGGCTGCTGCTGGCTCATCCCTCCATGCGAGGCGTAGAGCGCGAGCTCTTGCCCTGCAGGGGGGTTGGGAAGGTTGAAAGTTACCCCCTGGTTGCCTCCTCCGAGCTGAGGAGGATCCGCCCATGGGGTCTGAGACAGGTCGACAGGAGAGTATGACCGGGGAGGGAAATGCACTTGCCCGCTGCCATGCCAGGGTCCTTGACTCGGCGGCGCCATCGGTTGCTGCGGCTCAACTCTGGAGTGTGGCGCTGCTGACCATGAACCGCTGGAAGCAAGACCCTGACCCCCCCAGCTACTTCCAGTCAGCCCAGCTTGACTCCACCCTCCTCCTCCTCCTCCTCCTCCTCCTCCTCCTCCTCCCCCACCCCCCACCATTGACTGCATTCCACGGATGTTTGACCGTTTCAAATACAAAAAATCGTTACTTGACCGTTATGGGCTATCAGTCGCTCGGATCCGGAGTCCCGGCGGGCCCGTCACCCCCCGGGCCCGTGAGAGTCACGCGCGGCCGGTGCCACCGTCACAGTGATCGGATCGGCCCCGGTACTTAGTACCGTACCGTGACGGCAGCTTCTCCTCAACCTAGTCTGGTTTCGCGCGCATCATAGTAAACTCGGTCTTGAGCAAAAACTCACTGAGTCTTGTTACACTGATTGATGTCGAGTGGCCCGGCACTGGCAGGATCGGACCATGCGGCTGGGTTGGTTCTCACTCAGTTTCTCTGACACTGGCTCGCCGTATGACCTGTCACGGTAACAGGCTGATGCATCCCGGGCCGGACTCCGTGGCATCGGATCAGTGCCCGGCCGGGCGCCCGGCGCGGGACCCGGCGGGCCCGGGGGAACTGAGACTGACTAGGACAGTGAGACTCAAGCGGCTGTCCGACAGTCGAGAGCCTCTTTTCTACTTTTAGAAATAGGTGGGTGGGGTACTCTGACATGTGGGTGGTCTCTGACATAGACCCCTACTTGGAACATAAATTGACACTGAAGTATACGGGTATATTATGACGTGGGGGGGTAGTGAAATGTGATGATGGGGATCACGGTCGAGTATAGCGGCATGGCTGCAGTGTCACCTCCAGGATACAGAACAGGGAGGAGGAGGAGGAGGAGGAGGAGGAGGAGGAGGAGGAGGAGACAGGAGGAGACAGGAGGAGACAGGAAGAAGAGGAGGAAGAGAAGAGGAGGCAGAAGTGATGGTAAGAGGAGGACAAGAAGCAGATGGAGGCAGGTGAAACGAGATGATACTGGTGTCAAGGAAATTCTGAATGTCATGAGAGCATGTCAAACAACTTCTGTCTCTTGTCTTCAGCAGTCGATGTTCGCTCACTCCTGATGCTGACAGCTCAGCTCAAGTTGAAGGACGTGGATGAAGTGCAAGTTAAGTTGCTGTGTGCTCAGCATGTGACTCCATGTTGAGGTAGGGCGTTCGCCTCCTGCCTCCCCTGCCTCTTCTGCCTCTGGCCCTCATGCTCGCTGACCCGCTTGCAGGGCTCTTGAGCTTTGCAACTCCAACAATGAAGGGCATCAGGGAGGGGATGAAGCGATCTTGGTAGCTGCTCCTCTTCTCTCCTCATTGCTCCTCCGCTCTCCTCCTTGCTCCTTCTCTGCTTCTTGTCACCTTCACCTCTCAGATTCAGAAGCGCGACAATGGCGACAAGTGCCTTCACCCGGGTAACTTGCTCTTGCCTGCAGCAGATGTTGATAGAGATGTTGTCAGGAATCAGCGGGCAGTCCAGTCACATCATAGCGGGCAATGGTGGAGCGAGTAGGAGAGGGAGCAGCGCTGATGTGCCGAGCAGGAAGGATGTCCTCGAAGCTAGTGAAGCTGCCGGATGACGGTGCTTGCTCGCTGCTGTCAAGGTCTTGACTGACTTCAGTCGCAGGACGCCACAAGACTGATGTACGGCAGAGAAAGAGGGGGAGGCCTGAGAAGAGGCATACAAGAACAAAGATCCTGACGACGAGGAGGAGTAGCAGCAGCAGCAGCAGCAGCAGGCGAGGGGGGGGGGGATGGGGGG